CATACATGCTGCATAATTAAAGTAGATTTTGGTCCAGGCAATGTGCTTTTTGTATTTTGGTTGTTGATATATGAATTGGTAAACAACTTGTTCTGTAGTTATATGGGCAGCAAAAGATGCCTGTTTATCTCCAGCAAATTTCCAAAAGCATTTTTTCTTCCCTTGATTTATTTATTTTTACGGGGCTTTTCACTACTACATTCCTGTCTCTGAAGATGTATCCCTAAAATCTTTTAAGGATTAGATACAAGCTCCCAAATCGAATCCAGGCCAGCTGGGGCTACAGGGCTAACCTGTCTCAAAAAGACCAAACAACAATAACAACAACAAAAACCACCTCCCAAATTGCACAACTCTTATCTGTGGGGTGGGGGGAAGAAAGTCATTGACTGGTTAATCAAGAGTAATTAGCATTACAAGTTCTAGATGGAACTAGAAAAAAATCAGAACTGGTAATTTTCAAATGTTCATATGAGAGTCCATTGGAATTTCTTGACAAGGGCTTCCAAAAGCATCCCTCTATTGGGTTCCTCCTCATTTTTCTTTTGTCTTCCAAGGCTGGACTCTAGAGTGATGGATTCAGGATTTGATTTCAGGCATTTTGGTAGCTGTTGGAATCCTTAGAATCAGTGTCGGTTCCCTCTCAAAGGCTTCTAGATAAGGGGAGAAAACAAATTTATCCGTCATTTTAGAACAACAGCTGGTTATCTCCCTTAGCTACAGATAGGCACTACAGTATTGGAGACTAAGATTTGAAGCCTTACATCTGAGCAGCACCTTCTGGTTAGGAACTAAATCATCAATGAGAAATAATTGTCTGAATAACTTTTTATATAGACTTAATCCTAATGTCTGGGAAGTGTAATCCCTTGAACTCTTAAAGAAATATACTGATGACTATACTCTTTGGTTATACTTTCCCTTTGGGTGTTTAACACCATACAGTTATAAATAAATCAATTTATATTTACACTTAAGGTCATTTGAGGATCTGTTCCTCAGGGGTCACATGGGCTTGGGAGGAGCGCCTGGCTCCTTTCTTTTACCAGTTCCATCTATGTGAAGATGAGTCAAAGGTCCTGCACAACCATGCCTGGCCTCACTTGGAAGCATGAATGAGATGCCTCCTCTGAGTCCACCCTCCGCTTTGTAGACTGGACACTGGTTCAAGTCCATCTCGTGGGGTTTCCATGTCCTCCCTGAACAAGAGGGCAGGTGACCCACCACAGTTACAGGACATCTTGAGAGATGCTCCATAGTCCCCTGGAACTCAGTCAACCTAGGAGGGCAAGGGGTAAAAACTGTCCTTTAAGTCCCTCTGACCACATTAGTATAGGCCTCAAACCATGCCTGTCAAACATCCAATAAGGTTAATTCCACCAGTTTGGCACCTTTAATTATCATGAGCTATGTGGATAAGGCTTGTGCAAAAAACCAAACATTCTCAGACAAACCTTGATGAGACTTATATTCTGTTCCTTAAACTAGTTGACTATACTATGACCATAGAAAATTTAAGGTTATGTGTATATTATTTATGTCTCATCCTTTATATATAACAAACCTACACAGACCTTCATCACTTGCTTAGGCTTTCTCATTTTTTTTTCTATTTTAGAAAATATCTCCATTCCCATATCCATTTAACACCTTTTACAGTCTCATTTAAAAAAAAATAATTATGAGACATAATAGCATTAACAAATAAATTGTCCATCTGTTGTGAGACTTCTTTTCTTGGGGATGCTAGAAATAAGCAATGATTATTTCCTTTTAAGGTTCTAAGGTCAAGCCAACGTTTGATTAAAATTTTACTGGGGAACTAATGAATTTATTGAGCTTACTTACTGAGATAACTGAGGGGTTGCTGAGGTGTATGTATGACCTGAGGGTATGCACACTGGAAAGCCTTTACCCAGCATGGGTCATACCCTCTTTTCCTAGACTTCCCCAAATCCAGGAGGCCATGTGTGATTAGGGCCAAATTACATACAGTTGGCTGGGAAGAGTGGCTGGATAATCCCATGAGGATCCAATGACCCTGCTTGGCCCTCCTTTAACTAATGAATACAACTGTCAACAAGCCCAATTGTGGTGATGTTTAGTAATCAGGCTCAGCTGAAGTCGCGATGATGGTAGTTATCTCATGCAGAAGGGGCTGCTGTATAGCATCATCTTATTAAAAGGACATGGAATTTAAAAGGATTTGGTGCATGGATCCACATATGAGGGAGAACATATGTCATTTGTTTTCCTGAGTCTTCATTACTTCACTTTGTATAACAGTTTCTAGATCCATCCATTTACCTGCAAATTTCATTATTTCATCTTTTTTTTACTGCTGAATAGAACTCCATTGTGTAAATTTATCACATTTTTGTTAACCACTCGTCAGTTGAGGAGCACTTAGGTTGCTCCCATCTCTTAGCTATTGTGAAAAGAACAGCAACAAACATGGTTGTACAAGTGTCTCTACAATGGGATGAGTCCTTTGGGTACATGCCAAGGAGTGGTATAACTGGTTCATTTTGAGTTTTTAAGCTCCACACTGTTTTCCATAGGGATTGCACGAGTTTGCAATCCCACCAGCAGTGAATGAGCATTTCCCTTTCTCCACATCCTCACCAGCATTTGGTATCATTTGTTCTCTTGATCCTAGCCACTCTGATTGGGGTAAGGTAATAATACCTTAGGGTGGTTTTAATTTGCATTTCCCTAAGTACTAACAATGTTGAACATCTTTTAAGATGCTTCATAGTCATCTTTATTTCTTCTTTTGAGAACTCTCTGTTCAGCTCCTTAGCCCATCTTCTAATTGGGTTAATTCTTGTCTTGATTCTGTTTTTTTTTTTCTTTTTCTTTTTTGGTCTTTTTTAGACACAGTCT